GAGAAATAGAGGAGGAAAGAGAACGTAGTCAGTCAAAAGATAAAAAGAGACACTAAAGGCAAAGAGGAAGTGCAGTCGTCAGAGAGAGATGGAGGGATAGCAAGAGGTGTTTAATAAAGAAGAGATCATTTAGTTGTCACCACCAAGAGATTCTCTGTCAGCCAACTGCTTCTGCCAGTGAGAAGAAGAATTTAGAGTAGCTCGCCTGACAGCCGAACATCAAGCTCTATTGGGACGGGAGACTTTCAAAATAAAGAAAGATAAAAGCTTCTGAAAGGCTTTAATAAGACATGACAGATGAGCGTCGTGTAATCTCAAAAATTGGCACGTTAAGAGAGAAATCCCTGCCTTTTTTTATTTTTTTCTTCTTTCTTGCTATTCAAAATTTAAATACTGCAACAACACTCTCAATTTTTACTTCTTTTTTTTTCTTACCCGGGATATTTTGGGATATTTACCAACACACTGATTGTGACAGTTTGAACAGCCTAAATCTGATGTTTGCCTTGCACATATTTTTTTAAATGTCACACAAGTAGTAAACATGATTTTTGATCCCCAGTCTAGGAAATACATCAAATGGCTGCAGACATCGTAAACACCCTTAAAAAGTGCTAAACTAAATGCCAGCACATGCAGCATTCTCAGTGACAAACATTCGTGCAGACAAGACAACACTACAAATCAAAAGTGGCATTTCTGCATTATGGAGGCCAGCTTTTCGAAGACGTCTTCCTCCATGTAAATTCTACTTGGGTTCGCAAGTATAAATCACCCACAGTCCAACTGTGAGTGTGTGTGCTTGAGCAGGATTGAGTCTACAAATCTGTGTGTGGACGCAGCTGTTTGTCCGCGAAGGCAGACGCGTAGAGTTAGATCGCTCAACAGGGATCCATCAGTATTTTGGCAGGTTGTTTATGCTAGCAGAAAGTAGGAAATACTATATATTTGTATCTGAATGTGTAAAAGAATAACTATGGAGAGAAAGAGACTTGATGAATCTGACAAATAACTAAATAAATAAATGTTTTTCCGTACCTTACTGAAGCCTGCTTTTTGGCTTAACCAGACACCTCGAGTGACTTGAAATAGTCAGAGTAAGAAAACAAACATTTACCTGGAAAACTAAAATATACCAAGATTGGACAGATCCAACGTAGCAAAATTTGTCTGGCCAAGTTCTGGTCCACACAGTGCACTAACATTCGACCCACATAGAGCAAATTAAAAAAAAAAAAACAAGTGTGTCCATGGTTTGGGCGACCGGGGGAGTGATTGGAAATGTCAGCTGACAACAGCACTTTTCACTGACACTCTGAGAACTGGCGCAGCGACAGAGAGGTGGGGGGTGGGGAGGGTTGGTGGGGTTGAAGGGGCGGATATGAACTTAAACAAGCCACAAAATGGATGAGGATGACACAGTTCAAACAGTGTGCGTGTGTGTTTCAGTGCAATAGACAGACTTCCTGTTTACTGTGTCAATGCGAGTGAGTGATCTGCGAGTGATATGAGTTTTAGTATGCACATGCACACATCAGCGAAATATTATAAAACTGCCTCTTTATTTCTGCAAGCTGGAGAGAGTTGGATTCTTAAAGCTTTGAGGGGTTCCCAGTGGCACCCGCTGACCTTTCCAAAATGTTACTGGCCGCTTGGCCCGCTGACTGAGTCCCTAATGGAACTTTTACCGGCCCTCTATTTTTTACCCAATTTCTCCAGAATGCCTTCAGGGCTACACTGACATACAACTGAGTGCAGCTGACGCATGCTAGAAGATGGGTCTGCATGTGAGCATCTTCACTTTTATTTGTTAGAGTAAATAGGGAAATTTTTATTTTTTAAGTGTTTTGCTCTACAAAATGTTGAAAGGAACAAAATGTAATGGTAAATAGTCTGAACTTTTAGCGCTTTATCAAGCCTCTTCAGACCTCAAAGACTTTCCACTACAGACATTCACACACACATTCACCCACTGATGATGGTGAGCTAAATTGTAGCTCGAGGAGTTTATAATTAGCATCCGACACTGGTAGCTAATACCAGTTTTTCTCAAACCGAGTACGAGTACTTCAGTTTGGGTACTCGCCAAATACTGAGTTAGAACTTGAACATTACATGATCATTATAAAACACTTTTTTATTTAGAACAAGTTGACTCTCCTTCCTTATAGGCCTACGGAGCCTTCTGACTGGATCAAAACAAATATACAACATGATAAATAATGTCGTAACTTTTTTAAATAATTTAAAAAAACATGACTTTCTTTCAACTTATAAAAATTTCTTGAACATGGAACTGACAAATGTTTCACTTGAAATAAAACCTGTAACATATTCAATGGAGTATCGATACCAGTAGTATCAGTCCCGACCGGAGAATTTTGTACAAGTACGAATACTTGTAAAAATGCTGGTATTGGACCTGATGCCATTACTACTAGCTGTTGAATTTATCTCTTAATGGTTCCTATTTACAGCTGAAACAGTAAGTTTACATACACTGTATATATAAAAAACTTGCGTTTTTTCACACAGTCTGACATGAAATCAGATTAAAGATCTCTCATGTTAGGCCAATTAGAATTACCATTTTCTTTTTATTTGATAAATGCCAGAATAATGAGAGAGATTTTTTAAGGCAATTCTTCAATGTCAAATGTTTAAATACACTATGATTACTATGTGGGACATTTGATGTCATCTTTGGAACCCTCTGATAGGTTTATTGATAAATTCAGAGTTAATGCACGTGTCTTTTTTGTATAATGGATGTTAACTTCTGGTTTCAACTGAATGTGTTTTGGACATGTACGTAGGTAACAGCAGATTAACAACTCTTATTATCATGATAAATTTGCACAGGTGTATTTGTGCATGAAGCCCCAGTGATCCTTACTTTTTCTGTGGTGCTAATGGTTGAAATAAAATGATCTATAACTCCAATTTAAGTTTGAAGAGTGAGTTTGAGAAAGCAGACATTTAAAGTCATGACAGTTTTTTTAAAAGTTGAGCTATTTCTCATCAAGAAAAAAAAGCTATTCACTGCCATTTATTTTCTACACGGAGTACAAATAGGGTGCTTCATGCTGAACAAGGACTTTTATGGAAAATAGATATTGCTGATGCAAGTAGAGCTGCCTGTCGACTCCGAGGCAAACTCAAAATCCATTGACATTATAGTAACAGACGAATAATTCTGCTAATCAGTTTACAAACATGTCATCAGTTTATTAAAAAAATGAAAATACTGTAAAACGCTAATACTTTTGGCACTATTCCTGCATACTATTCGATTTAAAGTGAATCACTGCTGTACTTGTTGTGGTTAGCTCTTTGAAAGCCCTGAATTTGGATAAATGTGGTTTAATTATGTTATTAGTTTAAAGCAGGGCAAAGAACAGAATGAACTGTTGCCATCTTAAAACAACTACAGTTATTATTTTTACAGTGGTTCATGTGCACACCTTTTATATAAACCTTTACACTGCAATTAATTATGCATTTTACTCCTATTCCAGCAGAAACATTCAGATGTTCCTGCAGAAAGGGCTCCTGGCTGCACCACAGATGCCGCAGGCAGCTGCTGATATTTGCACTTGCAAATACTCAAATGATGACACGTAAATGACTGTGTGACGCAAAACTGACTGCAATATTAATGTCTTTAAAATGGTTTTTACAGGAAATGAGATGAAGTTTTGGCAACTGGATTCACTTTAAGATGACAAAAAGTCTACTTTGGTCTTGATCCCACTCAGAATTTTTTTTTTTTTTTGGGTCCTCAAAAGATTAAAGGAACACATTTAAGACTTTGCTGTTTTGGTGTTACACAAACAGCATTTCCGTTGCAATTGGGCAGACAAATTAAAGATGATGTAGTATGAAGAGACGGTTTAATGTTCTTTAGCCAGTGTATGACCTGGATAGAAGTGATGACAAACAAAGGGGAATTTTTTTTTTTTTACTTTTTTGGAGGCTGGAGGAGGTATCAAAAGAAATTAGGGACAAACAGTCAGAAATATGGGAGATATTCTGCTGGTTAGGTTAAGAAATTTACAGTGTACATAATAAAAAAACTGTTAGTGTGTTTGAAAACTTTTAGTTGACAGGATGGTTGTACCATGGTATCTCCAACATTACAGATTGTGGCCAGTCTCTGAGTGGAAAAGGGAGCCTTGAGCTCCTTCAAGGTAAAAACAGTCACTGATGTGAACCATACCTTGGTCTAAGTCCAAGCTAAGGAAGTAGAAGAGTCACCAGACATGTCAACTCAGTGTACAACAACATTAAATTCACCAGACAGGATGCTAATGGCAACATGCTGCCTTTTTTTGAAGTGTTTGGTGAACATGGAAAGGACAACATTTAGGGTTACAGGAAACCAGCTCACACCGATTAGTACCTTGTGTTTGACTCTTGCCACTCACTGGAACAAAAACATCAAAACTCTACACCAGCATATACCCACAAGGGCAAAATGACAGGAAGAGAAACAAAAACACATAAAATATGCCGTCCAAACACTTAATTGGGTTTTTGTCAAATCAGCAAGAAGATCTAAAAACCACGCCACAGAACAACAAGAACAAATGCGACATTGTCATCCTATATGTTGCCGGAGAATCTGAGGAGCTCAAAAGGGTTTTCTCCAAAACACAGCATTCCAGTGCATTTTAAACCTGACAGGACCCTCCAACGGAAGCAGGTCCATATTAAGGACAGAACACCTAAACCCAACATGAGCGGTGCGGCATCTGCAGTTCAGAACAGCAAGGAATGTTATGAACTCTGTATTGTAAAAAACACCTAAAGCTCAAAAATAAGGAACATTCATTGAAGGATCAAAATGTTCATACAGTATTTTGGACAGAGAAGATGAATGTTTTGAAAGAGGTATAGTCATTTGCGTCAAATGAGAGAAAAAATACTTTAGATAAAGTAGGTCTCAGATTTCAGCTTTCCAGAACTTACAAAAACACCTTCAATCTGATACCCAGTCAGTTTCATTCTAATGAACACCGTCGTGCGTGTGATCAAAGCATCTCTCTTGTGAACCAGGCTAATAGAGACTCCAATGACTCTCCATCGCGAGGGGCTTGTAGTTTAAACTGCATCTACGTAGATTCCACAACTGAGCTTCCCAGTTTAAAAGCTTGGAACTCCACACTCCATTTCTGAATTCAGAAAACGACCTGAATGTGAAACAAAATTAAGTTTAACGAATGAATTTATTTGTGAAAAACAACTTGAATACCCCCAAACAAAAGGATCACTTAAAAAAATCATCAGTGAAGATAAAACACTGAATAAATACTGTGATTATATGGCATCAGCCTCATTAATAGACTTCATATTTCTGCCCAAATACCTGTTTGATTTGTATTGTTTAGAAAAACAGTGGGAATACCAACTAATAACATTACCGTGATGATATTGAATTGAACCTTTATCAGTTTAGTTTTGTTCATTGTTAAATTAACATATTGAACTATTTTAAATGTATATCATGACACAGGTGTGTGGGTATACCTGACTCTCTCTGGCATTGCAAGTGATTTAATGGGATAAATCACAGGGATTAAGAATGTGTTGATGGACAGCAGAATGTGTCAGCCCTTATACGAGTACATAACAAGTTTATTTTATTTTTCCCTCTGAGGAAGCAGAGAAGAGAACCACACGGGTCAAGAGCAAACTGTTGAAACTCATTGCAGCTGCTGTTGAAGTCGCAGCAGTAATTACCACAGGCAGAACTGAACTGAGCAGTAATGAGCTGAATTTACTGGCAGGTGCTGCCTAATGCATCTGCAGAGCAAGGAGAATAGAATAGAATAGAATAGAATAGAATAGAATAGAATAGAATAGAATAGAATAGAATAGAACTCACGGCTGGCAGAGTTTGATGAGGTCCTGGTCAGTGGTGGCAGGCGGCAGGCCTCTGATGTACAGGTTGGTTTTACTTAGCTGCTCCACTAGCCCTCCTCCCTGACCTCCTCCTCCTCCTCCTCCTCCTGTCGTGCCAGGGCTGGGGGAGGCCATGGGTGGAGGCGGAGGAGCATAGGACTGCTGTAGAGGCCAAGAGAACAAAAAGAGAGGGAGAGGGGAAAAAAACAAGAGTTAAGTCATATTAATGTTTCTGGTAAATGTTTTTTTCTGCACAACATTTATTGAACATGGATTTGATTAGACAGAACCGCCCAATTATTTTGGGGTTTGTATCCCAAATCTACTCAATCCAACAACCTCTTTCAACCAAACTCACATCCTGCCAAGTTATGTTTTCCTTTCCCGCATCGTTTTCTTGATTCAGCAGGAAGCAACAGCAAATCAAGGAAGCAGGATAGGAGAAGATTAGATTAGCGGTGCTCGATGATTATGGCGCCACATTTTACTGCAGAAACTTGCATGAATAAAAATCACAGCGGTCCAACTAAGTGCAATGATTTCTGCACTTAGCATACATTAAAACACAGCCCAACACACTGGCATGGGTCAGGACAGGAACTACTCAGTGCTCACTGTTGGTACATTTTATACAATACATTGTTTCTAATCAGTCAGCCTTGACTAGGAAGTCCTGTAAGGTCAGCACACATGATAATAACGTGAATGAAATCCATCCACATTTAAAAATATATGTATTTTTATGTAAATTCATGTAAAATCTGAACTTGTTTTTAAATTGAAGCAAACACAGAAAAGTATTTCAATGTATATGTATTATATTCATGCCCTAAGTCCTATTGTGGCTGTAAAACACAGCTTATCCTGGCGTGAGCACTATATCACACTTGAACTTACTAAAACATCTCATATTGGCCTCCACTGTCCAATTACACAGCTCAATACTGACTAAATGGCTTAATAAGAAGACTGGCTCTGGCAGAGAGGAAGGGGAGTACAAGGATTAATGAGTTTCTGGCACTGATGGAACACCCACCCTTGTTTTAGCCTCAGGCAAAGCATTAAGCTACGTTCAGAGGAAATAAACATGACAACAGCATTGAAAACACTCTGTCTTGATGTTTAGAGCAAAACAACTCCGCTTTCCTGACAAGTCTTCGCTTCAGTCCCACAGTGAGGAAAAAGTGGATAAATTAAGTTCCAAGGAAAAAAAAGAGAGAGAGATTGTGGATTTAAGCAAAAGTATCAGACGAGGTGGGGTATATGTGTTGAAGTGCTGGATGAGGAAGTGTCTCTGAATGTGTTCACAAATGTAAGGGAGCTTGTTTGAGCTGGTATTTGTGGTCACTGGAGAGCAACACACAGCCTGAGCAAGCTCTGATATTAATCTACGACCTGAACATTCCTTACATTTCCTAATTTCTCAACACACAAGTTTGTATTTCTATCATTATGGGGACCACTTTCATTCATTTATTGCCAAAAAGGCTCTACATGGTCCATTCAAATGTGTGAAATATGCTCTCATTTTCGCAGTTGTGTTACTGAAATTGTGTCATTTTCATTCTCAGCTCCGTGACTTCTGCCCCTTCTTGTCTACCCCGAGGAAAGCTTTGTACCTCCCCATGCATACAAAATTATTATCTGATTAATCAGAAGTCTGGAAAGTTTGGTGCATAACTGTGACAAATACGTGCCCAGTGTAATAGCAAATATCGGAGTGGGGACTACGTTATCATTTCAACATGGCTGCTCCTTGCATCAACAGCGATAGAATTTTTTTTACTTTTACGATTTTTAGCTGTTCTGTGTTTTTTTACATTAAGTCAGTTGTGCTTGTAGTACTTTATAGTGAGGAGACATGTTTTAATGCTGTTAGCACACCTAAAGTGCCTTGTAGAGCACTATCATTGTAAATGTTATAGTTGCAGAGCAAAAAAAGTAGAAACACTTTTTCCGACGTCCTGGCAAGTTGAAAACTGGAACACTTTCAACTTGGAACTGATGTCAGCCCGTATTTAAAGTTTCGAGTTCTGCTACAACTGGAACGCATCATGTGTAGCTGCATTTCCATTGCAAATGTGTGCAAAATGTTGTCAATATTCTGTTAATGTTGAAAGAACACAGTTTTGCAACTGAAGTGTTTCCATTAAGTAAGAAATGCTATTAAAGTCACGCGTGAATACGCTTGTTCTCGCGATAAGTCATTACAAACATGGCGGCAATGGATATATACACAAGCATATTTGTTACATGGCCCTAGCGCTCATCATCAGAGGAGACGTCGTCATCTTGTTGAAGCTTTCGAGAGTCAAGCCCCTCATACTTGGGAGCAGCTACGTTTGCAGCGTTTTTGGGAAATTGTAGTCGGTGAGTTTACTATAGTCTTTTACAACTTATGTGATTTTACTAATACTTCCACTTCCTGTTGTCTTCATCTTTTTCGCCAGTAGAAACAGCCAGTTGTTGATCACGTGACTCCCGTGTGCGAAAAAAGTGTTTCCATTGCGGTTGTGCGAAACACACCAATTTCAATACGAACAAAAAACCACCTCATCCTAGTGCAAAACAATTTTGTCGAAAAAAGAAAGTTTTATCGAAATTGACGTGTTTCCAGTGAGCAAATTTATTTTTGAAATTCTAATTTGTGCATTTTTATGGTCAATGGAAATGCAGCTTGTGTCTCACGTTCTATGAAAGGTGTGCAAAAAGTGAACGTTGAGCAATCATGTGGGTGTTTGTCAACTGGTCGACTTCAAATAGTGTTTTGGGCCCTTAATCCTGATCCATACCCTAAACTTAACCTAACACCAGTACATACCTAAACCTAACCACTCCTCAGTTCACACTTTAGTCCTAAGCTTAACTCCTCCCCCAGCAATGACGTGACACCATATTAGCAGTGCTGGCTCTAGCCATTTTATTGCCCTAGGCGAGTTGAAGCCCCCCACCCACGGATTTTTTTTTCAAGTCTTACAGATTTTTTCAAAACCTCATTTTCAAATTTATCTAACATGTCAGAGCCTGTAGGATGATTTAAAAAAACAATATATAACATAACATTAAGTAGCCATTTTCCAACCCGTTTTGCTGGTAGAAATAAGTTTTGAACTTTTTCCGCTCTCCTTTCCTCCTGCATTGCAGCGGGCGCTTTCATGTCCCCAGCGAGGCTGACACCCAACCCCCACCCCGGGTGCGAGTTCAGTGCAACTTCAATCAAATGAGAGAGAGAGAGAGGGTGGGGGTAACTGCTGTATTGGGGGGGATGTTTTATGGGTAGAGTAGTTTATTTTTCCTTTAATATTTCATTTGTAGTTTTTTAAGACAAAGCTAAATGAAAGGAACGCTGAGCAGAGTTACAACCAGGGATTACAAATAATTATGGTGCGTTCAAACCAAACGCGATTTCAGCATCAGGAGCAGCAGGTTTACATGCAAAGTCTATGATGGACGCGCTTCAAGCAGCGTCGGGAAGTGCTGCGGCGCCTCAAGCGCGATTAGAGCAGCGCGATTTGAACGATTTGAACGATCTGAGCGTTCGACGCGCTGAGGCGCAAATCGCTGAAATTAGAAAATCTGAACTTTTGCAGCTCGACGCGCCGCGTCAACCAATCAGAGAGACTCCACTGTGTGACGTAGCGACATACGTATTTCCCGACGGGACAGTTTACTGAATGATGTCCACTAATCTGAAACAGATGGAGCGGAGCTCTTTAGCTGAAATGAGTGCCTGCAGTCGGTGTCCTGATCCGCAGCAATGCGTGGCAGCGACTCATCAGACTGGAAAATAGTCCTGAAAGAGAGCTGTGAGCCTCTACTCTGAATTATCTGGTGAATTAATTATGAATTAATTATCTGATGAATGTGACATGCTCTTGCTCTGTAAATTAAGCAAAGCCACTTCCTCGTCCGACATTAAACAGAGCCCGACAGAGGAGGGAGGGGCGGGGAGACTGTCGCCGTGCAGCGCTTCAAGAGCTGTCCTGCGTCTGACCTCAAAGTGCACAAGCTTCAAACTTCAGCGTTGGCTGCGATTTTGAAGCTGAAATCGCGTTCGGTGTGAACGCAGCATAACTTTTTTCTTCTACAGTTCGGCACCTCCTCCAGCAGAGGGCACTCTGGGCGACCGCCTAGTTCGCCTATGCCAAGAGCCGGCTCTGCATATTAGCACCAGGCTTTGTTCCTCAAAAGGACGACTGCTCCAAGTAAGATAGGTGTTTATACCAGAAAAGGTCCTAAAAAGGTGACGAATACCAGGCAGACACACAAACACACACACAGCAGAAGCTAAGAGAAGCAGGGTTAACAAGATTCAGCACATGAATAAAAGACGTGCAGCGAAGAAAATTATATCATTTGGGCCAATGTTTCACACTTATCAGCCAGAATTAAATTTTTGACAAGACAAAACATGACAAAGTACAGCACAAAAAAGTAGTGTTATTATTCTAATAAAAAAGCACCTATTTACTATTCACTCCATAATATGTGTCAAACCAGGAACTAAAAATCTCCACCACATCTCTTTAAATTGTGATTTTGATAATAATGATGCAAAACAAGCTTTTCAATGCTGGACTCAGGCCGACCAGCTCTGGCAGACAAAACACAAGCATGTCAGATTGAAAGTGTAATGTACAAATAAAAGGCCTCATGCTGAAATCTGAAAAATAAATAAAAAAATAAATAAATAAATAAATAAATAAATAAATAAATAAATAAATAAATAAATAAATAAATAAAATAAAACATACCCAACATTCTTTAATATCACCCGTCATCTTCCCTTCTAAAGTTTTATACTAAGATCAACTTAATCATGTAAATGATTGTATGTGAAAGCTCATGCGATTTCCTAGAGATGTTAGTTTTTTTATATGTCTTGTGAATGAATCACAACTACTACAGCACCAAACCTTAGCTTAATATCTATAAATAGGGCTGAGTCAAAGCTATTTTTGTGTTGATCAAGGCTGATCAGATATTTTGATTATGGTGGACTCCAAGTCAGTGAACAGTAAATGAACATTAATGGTAAGAATTGTTTTAAAGGAGACAAATCATGTTTTAAATCCTTATTTTTCACATTAAAATTATTCATTATTCATATAAAGTGGAATCGCTTTGGTCTGAATTCCTTCTTATTGTAACTCCACAAGCCC